ATTTGTCGTACGACAAATGTAATAGTACCCTTACTCTGTATCACAGATTAATAGACAGATCGCCAAAGGCCCGGGTGAAAACGAGACCACTACACACTTTGCCCCTTACCGACAGCGTTGGCCCTATATAAGAGCGAGTCTGTACTAAATATGTATATCCGATTTTATCGACAAATTTGGCCTTTTGGTGCGAGTCCAGACTAAATTTAGGCAATTCTGTCGATAAAATCAGATATATTTAGTCGGGACTCGCACCAAAAGGCCAAATTTGTCGATAAAATCGGTGTATTTAGTACAGACTCGCTCCTAGGGGCAACGCTGTCGGTAAGGGGGCAAAGTGTGTAGTGGCACAGATTAATGCCCATTCTACACCTATAAGGGTAAAAGGGTACACTGTAGTTGTACTTTGGTACGATTGGAAACCAACCAAAGTGTAAACCTTTTACACTTTATACTACTTCCTCGTGCCCATTCTACACCTAGGGATGATCCTACTTGTGGCTCATCCGATACCCCTTCTATACCTAAAGCTAATCCTACTTGCAGCTTATCCGAGGGAGTAGTATAAAGTGTAAAAGGTTTACACTTTGGTTGGTTTCCAATCGTACCAAAGTACAACTACAGTGTACCCTTTTACACTTTATACTACTCCCTCGGATAAGCTGCAAGTATAGCTGCAAGGATTAGCTTTAGGTATAGAAGGGGTATCGGATGTGGTAAAAGTAGGATCATCCCTAGGTGTAGAATGGGCATCGGATATTAAGCTGCAAGTATGATTAGCTTTAGGTATAGAAGGGGTATCGGATGAGCCACAAGTAGGATCATCCCTAGGTGTAGAATGGGCATATAGACAGATCGCCAAAGACCCGGGTTGAGGCGCGACCCCCATTTCCGTACTTTATTGCCCCTTACCGACACCTTTGCCCCTTACCGACAGCTTTGCCCCTAGGAGCGAGTCTGTATACTAAATACATATATCCAATTTTATCGACAAATTTGGCCTTTTGGTGCGAGTCCCGACTAAATATATCCGATTTTATCGATAGAATTGCCTAAATTTAGTCTGGACTCGCACCAAAAGACCAAATTTGTCGATAAAATCGGATATATTTAGTACAGACTCGCTCCTAGGGGCAACGCTTTCGAAGGGGCAAAGTGTGTATACATATAGTGGTCTCGTCTTCACCCGGGCCTTTAGCGATCTGGGTAGTGGTCTCGGACTTCACCCGGGCCTTTGGCGATCTGTCTATTAATCTGTGCTCTGTATGCTGTGTCGCACGATCATGCCTCAGTTATGTAATATCTAATTATACATATTTCATAATTATGAGATCGTTCTAATTTTGTATTATTTAGAACGATTGATTGATTCACTTGTTTATCTCATCTGACTCTCATATTTTCATATCTGAGTAGTTCGGACATGAACCACAGCTTGTATACCGTTACCGAGCGAACAGACGCAGTTATCGTCTACTTTTTCAGGGTGTGCATTTGTTTCCCGAGCTAGAAGACCCGAATGGCCGCTCTCGAGCACGAGCGGGAGCTCGATGAACATAGGGAGATGACTGGATCATTTTGCGTCGCCATAAATTTATCCTGAAAATCCCTTCATCCCGCAGTGCAGCGTATAGTCACACGATAGCAGCCATTTTCATAAAAATTTACAAATATCTTCGAATCTCTGAATCACGCGCAGCATGTCCATTGAAATTAATCGACTGAGTGACAGCTCTATAATATAACAGCCCGCTTGAAAGAATGCAATTATGGCACTTAAAAATTTATGATTTTTATGATTGACATGATATAATTCACAT